AAGCAAAAGCTGCAGCAGCTGGAGGATGAGTTCTACACCTTCGTCAACCTGCTGGATGTTGCCAGGGCCCTGCGGCTGCCCGAGGAGGTCGTGGATTTCCTGTACCAGTACTGGAAGTTGAAGAGGAAGGTCAACTTCAACAAGCCCCTGATCACCCCAAAGAAGGACGAAGAGGACAATCTCGCGAAGCGGGAGCAGGATGTCTTGTTCAGGAGGCTGCAGCTGTTCACGCACCTGCGGCAGGACCTGGAGAGGGTAATGGTCGACACTGACACCTTGTGGTGACGTAGAGAAGAAGATTGCAAAGAGGCGACCGCTTGCCCAGAGCAAGGAGTGGTAGCCAGTGCATTTCCTCTCAGACCCTTGTACATACTTCAGCATGAGGTTGTGTTGGTTGAATCTATTTATGGGCTGGTAAACTCACTGTGCACACACACAAGACGGCCACAGAGCCCGGGGAGCCTCTCTGATTTAAACACTTCCTCGTTAGTTCTTACTGTTCTTCTGGAAGATCAAATGGGGTGTGTCTTCCCCTCCCCCGCCCCCCTTCATTCTAGAGCTAGAGGGAACTGAGCCCCCCAGGAAGATGCCCAAGGGGTGGGCTCAGAATTGTTTACAAACTGAGTTAGAAAACCAGAGTGGATTTAATTAACGGTGAGGGGGTGGGTGGGGCGGGCCGAGGTAGGGCAGTCTCTTGTTGAACCTGGGGAAACACTTTCTAGGTGCTGGTCATGGGCTCATTAAGGAGAGGGAAGCACTGCCTCTCTGACCCAGCTCCGCCTCTTGCCTAACTGGCGGGGGCCTTCCCGGTACAGTCGCCGAGCAGAGCAGGCTGTGGGTGCTGATGTGTGGGCATGAGCTGCCATACACATGCATTTCTGTTCCCCAGGGTACTCCGGCAGTGAGGTGCTAAGTCATCACTCAGGCTGTGTATATGTTGTGTGTGCATGTGTGTCTGTGTCCGTGTGTGTCTGTGTGCTGTGTCTAGAGTGGGCGTGGGGCAGGACTCCTGGTGCACAGGGGCCTCCGATCTGACCCGGGGAGCCCCCCTGTCCCGCGCGGCGCGCTTCGAACGCCCTCACCACTGGATTGGCCCGTGTGGTGGCCCGTGGCTGCCTGGAGCCTCGGCTGGTGGCACCTTCCTGCAGCTGTTGGCTGGTTGGCGTCTCGCCCATTCTCCAGTACCTCTGGAGTCCCAGTCTGGACCTCCCTTCCGGCTACAGGCAGAACTCTAGGAGCCGGCTGGCTTTTCCCCAGGGCCGCCGCCTCCCTGCAGGTAGTCTCTGACTGAAGCTTGCTAGTCGGCGATGTGTCTTAGAGCGCTTTCTCGCGTCAGCGCCCCTGACTGCCCCGACCGCCGACGGTGATTAAGTTCATTAGTGCACAGATGGAACTAAGGCTTCGGGCCCAAAGCAGCCCGTGCTGAAAGGCACCTAAGTGTCCTGAAACGGTTAACGCGTCTCCCCCAAGCACCTGACTTATTAATGGGGGCTGTGGTTCACCTGCCTGGGAGAGAATCTGACTCAGAGGTGATTTGCAGCGGGAGTGTAGGCAAAGAATAGGGACAGGGGAGAAGTACGGAACCGAAAGACCGAGCTCTCACAGAGACCTGCCCTGCCCTGGTAGAGAAGGCGTAGCAGTGAGAGTGTTTGTAAGTGTTCCTTAGAAGAGACCCTTTGAGTACCTGACAGTGCGGGCTGCTTGTGACGCCCCTTCCAGGCACCAGGTTAAGGTTCCGGATTCAGGCGGAGGCCAGGCGGGAAGAGGGTGTGTGAGGCTCTTGTGCTCCTGTGCCCCCCCCCCACCCCCACCCCGGTGGTGAGTGTAAAGAAGACCTCGCCTCTCAACCACATGTATGTGTGGCCTTTTTGTTAGAGATGAGAAAGGGATTCAGAAGGGAGAAACTCGAATCCTGGTGAGAAGCCTTGTCCCAACCTGACAACTGCTGTACTTGGAGTCAGACAGTCCTCAGGAGGGAGGACGAAAAGTCTAATGTTTGGACTGTGTTTGTCTCGCAATCACCACAAAATAAAAGTGTAGAAAATGCTTGTGGTGTACTAACTCTTTTCTGTACTGAAGTCACTCAGACTAACACGCACTTACGATTAAATTCTAAACGCTTTCTTTTTGGAGTCATCACTGTTGCGTTTTAAGTAGAATGATGCCAACGATGTATGAGAAACAGGGAATAAATCAGGATTTTTGTGTGTGTGCTATTACTTATATTTACTTTATTAAAGAGTCTAAGAGATTTGAGGGCATTTAGCGTCAGTCTAAAACGGGCTTATTAAAATGAAAAATGTGTTTTCCAGAATGTTCCACGAGGCCTGCGATGGTGGAGGCTTTAAAAAGTGGAAATCTTGGCCGCCGTGCCCCAGAGTGCACAGTTATTTGTGATTATAAACAAGAAGTGTATTAGGCCAAAGACTCATCAGGGCAGGGGTGACAGTAAGAATAAATCATAAGTCTGTTTTTCAAGTAACTTAAAGTCCAGCCCAGTTCACACAACAGCATTTCGTAGCAGGTTAATATGTGGGGCTGTGATCAAGGCGTGTGGTCACTTCAGAACTGACAAGTGAGTACCCTTCATTAGAGAGGCAGACAACTCTCTGAGTGATAACGGTAGTGGCTCTTTCCTGCAGATCTACACTGTGGGGCATTTTGCACACCCGGGTTCCAGTTCTGGATCAGAAAGTTAGATGACAGGAATGGACTCAGGTGGGTTTGGGAACCTGAAGACACGATTGCCGATATATGGCGGGTGCCGTGCCAAGTTCCCAGGGCTGCCACTTCACTCTGGTGGGATTCCTTTCCCCCAAACATTGTCTTCTAAAGGATGCAATAAACGTGAGTTCAGCAAATGAGTACTTGCTCAGATAAAAAAACATGCTACCTCTGCACTCCTGCCTGGGGCATCGAAAGGGGTCAGGTCCCGGGGCACCATTTTACTCAACATTTGGTGGAATGGTCACCTCTTGACAGTCTGACAGAGGCTACAGTTGTCCCCGAACAAGAGGCATGTTAAGCTTTAGTGTTGCAAGCAATGTTTGGGATTCAGGAAAACTTGAGGTCGTTATCGAGTTCCTGAGGGCAGTGGTTCTCAGCACGTGGTCCTCAACCAGCAGCAACGTGACCTGCAGGTTTTTGGATCCCACCTCTGACTCCAGAAACGGTGGGGTTGGAGGCCAGCATTCTGTGTTTTAGGGCCCCTACGTGTTTGTTCGGGAACCACTGCTTTTGGGGAAAGCCTGACTCTTGGGTTTAACGTGGTATGAGGGGTGGCAGCCGAGGGCTGGTGGCTTTGCCTACCACCTCGCTGGCAATTGGGAGAAGATGAAGCGGGGGGTCGGGGGTGGGCGGGAGGCTAGGTCTAGCAGTCTAGCAGTGTACAGGAAGGGCCAAGCAGGGTGTGTGTTGAGGACAGAGCCTCAGTTCAGCTCTACATACAGGGGCTGCTTATGGAAGTTGCCCTTTAGGGTGTTCTGTGCATGAGAGAGGTAAGGTTTAGGGCACTCACTATACTAATGTGGTCAGCCGGCCTGGTTTATTCAGGGGCTGATTTGCTCCAGTTGAAAACCCCGACCTTTGCTTCTTGGGGTCACAGTTAGATGTCTCGTATCAGAAAGCATGGGGAATGGAAGTGGGGAATTTCCCACTTAACAGCCAGGGTGGAAATCTTTCCTGGGGGAAGTGAAGACACCAAAATTAAATTTGAGTAATATACGAAGTTCAGGTTCTCTGGCTCTGCTCTTTCCATTGACAATTTTAAGTAAAAAGCGATGTATCTCTTTTGTACATCTGACTTGAATAGGAGAGTAACCTTGTCCACTCCTAGGATGTCAGAGAGTTTGTTTCCATTTCCTATTTCCACAAGTTGGATTCCCTGTCTTAATGTAAAAACCGTTCTGTATGTTTTCCAGTTGTTTTGAGCCTGTGATAAGGATCTAGGTTCGGCCCCTTCCTCTTTTTGACCTTCTACTCTTTATCTCCCCTGGGTGGAGCAATATTTATCAAAGAGGGTCGCCTATTAGCTACCTCCATCCCCAAACTGGTCAGAATTCTTATAAAGGACACCTACTTCCTGGCCTGAGGGTGTGTGGCTGTCAGAGAAAGAATGTGCTTTAACCAGGGTGAATGACACTGAAATAAGATTTACTTTGAGACAGGAAGAGTGATTTTATTCTCAGTTCTTTGAGATAATTTTTATTTTTATCAAGAAGTGTTAGGAAGATCCTAAACAAATAGCGAATAGGTTAGGATCAAGAGAAGCCTGACTTGGTGGTCCTGCTTTAGGCCAGGAAATTATACCACTTACAACGTGAGCAATGCAAATGTGAAAGCCAGCTGACCTGTTCCTCTTAATGCCTCGTGTCCTCTTGGAAAGGAGGCTGCCTTGAACACAGCTGGGGAAGAACAGCTGGAATTGTTAGGGTTCTTTAGGGGTGGTGTATCTGTACATAAGCCAAAATGCAGGGCTGTGTGTGTCGCTTGTTACCACTCTCACTGCCAAAAGGTTAGTGGCCTTGGGGGAAGGTGGCAGGAGAAGGGACAGCCCAAGCGTTAGGAGAGTGCAGTCATGCCTTCGGTGTAGGAGCTGATGGGGATATGCAGTCCCTGTTTTCAGTCTTGCCACTGAGCTTACTGGGGTGGTCTTGTCCACATCTTCCTGAAGAAAGGTTTATTGTGTTATCTGCTGTGTTGCATTTGACGTTTGTGTTTTCAGGCCCATGCAATCTAATCAGGTCTTACCAGTAGGCTTTAGGACTGAGAGATTTAAGGGGGTTTATTGATTAAGTCATTAAAATTTGATTCTGTATTGACTGATCACAGGTGGCTCTGAAAACGGGGAACAAATTTAAGTGTTGATTGGTTACTACTGGTGAATGAGCATTTGCATGCAGTTCCCCAGTGGTTGCACATCAGATGCAAAGCGGAGCTCCTAGTGCTGGGGTCTTCTCGGTTACTGACCGATGAATCGAGAAGAGGGCAGTTTCAGTTTTTCAGGTGGTGATACAGAAAGCTGGCCTTGAGAGGCTGAGCTAGCAAGTCAATGGCAAAGCAAGAAGGATGTTCCCTAGGTGTTCACACGCTGTAGGAACACAGCGGCCTGTAAGTTCCAAGGTACTTCAGAGAGTTCAGTGTCAACAAAAGAAGTTTACTTGGATTCCTGGTGACTACTTGGCCTTCTAGTGAGCCCTGTGTGGGGACATTGTTTGTGAGGGGCTTCTCCCTCTGATGGCCCTTGACCCTAATGCTGTCTAGTTCCATCTTCAGAAGATGCTTGATAAAGTGCAGCAGAGGTGGCTTCTGAACTGCTCTGAAGCCTCTGACGATAGAATTCATGGGAAGAGGATACTGAAGGGGTGATGAGCAGAGTCCTTTGGCAAGAGCTGGCATGTTTGGACTTGGACACCGATGGGCGTCTGTCTCTTCGCCAGGAGGAGCCTGTGGCCAGGTGTGGTGCAGGGGCAGGACCTCCTCTGACAGCCTCTTTTGTGCTGCTACCCACCTTGAGGGGTATACGCAGAATACTTGTTAGCACCCAAAGGGAGGCTTAGAGATTAGCTAAAATGTTTAAAGTACATTTGGATATCAAAAGTCACTCAAGGACCTAGTAGGACAAATTTTTCTCAGGTAAAGAGGAAAAAAACAAAAAAACAAAAAACACCGAAGTCCTGTTATAATGTATTGCTTACTTAGAATCTTTATTCTCTACGTTCTAGGTTCGGAACCTCACTTACATGGTGACCCGCAGGGAAAAGATTAAACGATCTGTGTGCAAAGTCCAGGAACAGATATTCAATCTTTACACTAAGCTTTTGGAGCAAGAAAGAGTTTCAGGTATGCATTAAGCCCCGGTAGGTCAAACAATAGGGCAGGGGTTTGTAAGCCCTCTGTTAAGGGAAAAAAATGCTAGTTTCTTTAATTTTATTTTATACTGTAGAAGAATCAAAGAAGCAAAGGCTTTTGTTGTTGAAGAAAATCTTCAGGCATTCGAGGCACCATGGTCTAGAGGAGAGGGCTATGAACTGGGCCTCATGTATGGGTCAAATCCTGTATTGGCTACTTAAAGGCTCAACACAAGCGAGTCTTAAGTTTTCCAAGTCTCCCTCGTTTCCTCACATGTAACGTGAGGATGAGATCTCCTGCTACCTCCTGGGAACAACTGTGAGACTCGAAAGAGTAACTTACATATTGCAAAGCACTTGATAAATGTAAAGTATCATGGGGATACCTAAAAAGATTTATAATTATCTAGCCTTTGGATCTGCCTGTAACATACGGTAAATATATCTTAAGACTGTGTACTTAAGGCACGTATCCATGTTTAGGTAACATTCACAGTGGATTATTTTGGTGCAGGTGGAATTTTGAATACTTTCGAGATTCAGCACAACATATTTATTTAGTGCTGCCTATGCTGCATTGCTCTGGCAAAGAGAAAAAGAAAACTAAGACATGGACTTCCCCCACCTCCGGAGAACACTTGAGTGACTCTGAGATCAAGTGCATAGGAGGGCAAGTTGTTTAACCTCTCCGGGACTCTGTTGGTCTGTAAGAGGTTTGGTCCAGAATCCTGCCCTCTGAAGTGCTTTTCCGCACTAGCGTTCCGTGATCAGAAGCCCCAGAAGGCAGGCGTTATAAGGATTTCAGAGGAGGAAGAGTCTGTCGAGTGCGGATCAGGCAGAACCATGACCCACGAGCAGGCGGGTCTTAGGGGACCTCGTGTCTGCTGCCCTTTGAAGTTAGAGCAGCAGTGTCTGCCCTGCTTGCCTCTTGTGCAGAGTCCCCCGGCTTACTCTCCTTCTGCTTCTGTGGCTTTTCGTCTCTGTAGATTAGGAAACACAGATACAACAAAGAAGTTGTTATAACCTATTATGTTGAAATCCACATTCTGGGTTTACCTAAAACTAACTGGATATGTGTGACTAGAGGCAAACTGGTCAGCCGAACAAAGAGAGAAAAAGCTTGGGGAGTTTTAAATGATATTCTTGAAGTGTGTTACGTTGTTTTGATAGCACTAACGTATTAATAATATCATCCTAGGTAATTTCCTTCCCAAGAGTAAATACTTCCCAGCTATATCAAGTGTTATATCGTCAGCTAGACTTTAGAGTTGTCAAACTTTTAAAATAGATTTTTCTGAGTTAGGGTATCACGAGTACAAGCAGTTTGACTCAGATTCTTTAAGGTGAACTTCTGTCTCTTCATTATTCCTACTTGAATGCAGATAAAATAGGGGACCTGTTTTCTCCCTTGCCCGTGGTGTGTCCTTGTGTAAAGAGCAGCCCCCCCCCCCCCCCCCCCCCCCCCAAGGCTGTCTGGTGCGGATCACCCAGCCTCCAGCTGCAGAGGCCGAGCTGCTGCCGCCCAGGATCATTAGTGCAGGTTGTGTCTGTGGAGCTTTGCCAGTGGAGGGCTTTCTGTGACTCTTGTTAAAAGTCCTTACGTAATGAGTGATTACCTATGAAAATAAGCTGTAAAGAAAGTTTTCATCTGATTTCACTCGAGTCGTTTTTCATGGTTATTGCAGGCAGTTTTTTTTTTTTTTTTCCCTTGTATTTCGTGGCTGAGGTTTTTTGGTAAGTGGTTGAGCTTCTTAACAAGGTTAGGAAGTGTTTTGTGTAACAGATGTAATGCAGATCTACGTTCAGAAGTCCTACTGCTGTTCCAGAACAGGAAAAGGGGTCCTCACCACCCTCTGAGGAATGACCCACACTAGATATGACGGGTTGGAAGCAATGGTAATCTTCCTGTGAACTGCCCCAGGGAATGAAGTGGAAACCCCTTGGGATGCCTTTTTTCTTCTTCCAGTTTCAGACTTTCAGTTGTGTCGTTCGTGCCTCACACTGATCTACCTTGTAAGAGAGATGATTCCGAGTGAGGCAGAGATGGCCCTGACTTAACATGTGTCACTAGGATCCATAGTTTAAACTGTCCCGTGGTTCCGAGAATGGGCAGGGCCCTTCTGCTGGATGAGTGTCCTCAGTGGAGACAATACTTATGAGAGTCAGAGGCCCTTCAGAGACATGGATCCCAAGTCAGGAGAGAAATCAGAGCTTGGAAAATAGCCCCTCTTACCTTCCTATTTTCCCACATTAGGTGACTACATAAAAGAAACAATACGTGTGGCGTGATGGTTGACCCTGAGTTTGATTACTGAGAAAGCAGCCATTTCTAAACCAGCAGATTGTAAAACAACCTCCCCTACCTACGGTCATGATAATTTTACGTTTAGAGTTGCTAGCTCTGTTCTGTTTACGTGCAGTGTCCGTTTCCGCTCAGCAGTTAAACTCTCACATGGGCTCCTGCCTGCTACTCTGGGGTGGAACCTTGTTTTCCTGGTGGTTCATAACTCAGGAAACATGAAAACTGCTCTTTGTAGGTGCTCTGGAGGCTCTTGCAGGAACGTGGTCCTTCTGATGAACTCTAGTATGTTATGAATTCACCCTGTAGTTTTCAAACTGAGGGTTACAGTTTATTATCGGGTTGTGAGATTAATTTAGCAGGTCATCACTAGCATTAAAACAAGTGAGATAGAACAGAAACTGTCAGAGTGCCTATCAGGCCATGAAGGCTAATATGATTGCAGGAAAAGTGAGCTTTTACTGGGTTACATTGTGAAACTTAGTTCTTACTGTGATTTGCCTCAGAAATGTTTGAAAAACACCAATTTAACTTATCCTTGTGTTGGATGGCAATTCAGTTTAATTCCACAAATGGGTTTTACATATGAGAGTAAACAGACGTACTCTGTGTCAAGAACGATTTCAAACAAACACCTTCCTTTATTCATTTCACAATTGACGTGTATTTATCCTCATCATAGCCATGTCGTGCTGTGAGGGTGTAGATAATTTGGAGAAAGAACCTTAAAAGCCCCAGTCCCCCCAGACCCCCCACCCTCACCCCCCCCCCCCCCACCCCCCGTCTGTAGGCGTGGCAGGTGGCAGCTCTTGGCAGGCGCTGCTCTGAGACCGGGTGGAAGCAGTGCTTGCTTCACCGCAGACGGATTCCGCAGTGAAATCCCATTTGAAAATCAGATCAGTTATTTTGTTTGACGGAAAATGTATTCCTTGAAAAGACATTGTTTCATGAAAAAGTACATGAACTTAAGCTGTTTTAGAAAATAGAGGATATTGAGTATCCAGATTTCACGGCAGGTAATTACCTTTACTGTAAATACCGAACTTGTACAAAGTGGGTGGCTGTGTGTTTTACTGTTGGGTGGGAAGGCCCTGCTGAGGGTCTGGAATTTTATTGTTCTGGATATGCCTCTGCTGTAACTTTCCTTGACGTGTGGTTTTTGTGTTCGTAGGTGCGCCGCCTTCTTCTTCCTCCTCATCACTGGAAAACATGCTTCTGTTTAACAGCCCTTCTGTGGGCCCCGATGCCCCCAAGATAGAGGACTTGAAGTGGCATTCTGCGTTCTTCAGGAAGCAAATGGGTACTTCCTTGGTTCACTCGATGAAAAAGCCCCATAAGCGAGATCCATTGCAGAACAGTGCTGGGAGTGAAGGCAAAACCCTGCTAAAGCAGCCAGACCTGGGCAGTAGAAGGGAGGGGATGGTGGTCCCAGAGAGCTTTTTGAGTTTTGAAAAGACCTTTGCAGAAGCACGTCTCATATCAGCACAACAGAAAAATGGTGTGGTGATGCCAGACCACGGGAACAGAAGAGACCATCGTTTTCATTGTGATCTTGGTAAGGGAGACTTGAAGGACAGACCTTTCAAACAGAGTCACAAGCCTCTCAGGTCCACAGACATGTCCCAGAGGCATGTGGACAACACAAGAGCTGCCACCTCCCCTGGAGTGGGGCAGTCAGCACCCGGCACGAGGAAAGAGACGGTGCCCAAGTGCAACGGCTCCCTAATCAAAGTAAACTATAACCAGACTGCAGTCAAAGTGCCTACAACACCTGCCAGCCCAGTGAAAAACTGGGGAGGATTCCGGATTCCAAAGAAGGGGGAACGGCAGCAGCAGGGAGAGGCCCACGAGGGGGCCTGCCACCAGCACTCAGACTACCCCTATTTGGGCTTAGGCCGAGTTCCAGCCAAGGAGAGGGCAAAGAGCAAGTTGAAATCTGACAACGAGAATGACGGGTACGTCCCTGATGTAGAGATGAGTGACTCAGAGAGCGAGGCATCAGAAAAGAAATGTATACATGCCAGCAGCACCATTAACAGGAGGACAGACATTATCAGGAGAAGCATTTTGGCCTCTTGATGAAGCAGAGATGGCTTGGGAGCACCACGGGCTTGTCACGGGGTAGGCGAGAGTTCAGACACGGGGGACGAGCAGAAACCCGTCACTCCTGAGCTGCACAAACACATTCACTTGCAATTCAGATTGAATTTTTTTTTTTTTGAGTCACTTATAAATCATTGTTGTGAGAAGTGTGTTATTTGCAACTTGTTGAGGAAACACAAGAGTTAGATTGTAACCGTAAGACACTGCTAAGACTAGAGGCTGAATTAAACACTAAAATAAGAATGGATGAATTATTAAGTTTCTAAAGAGGGCAAGGCTTTTAAATAAGCCTCATGAGTTTTTACTGCCCTCTGTATTCTTCCCAAAGCACAAACTCTTGGTTACCTGAATATACAGAATCAGATATGGTTCTTGAGAAACGCTCACGTACCATTTAATAGCCCATAAAACTTATTTTCTAGGACTGTGGTGGATCTTGAAATCACATTTATACTTTGGCCCACAAGGCTGTTTTTGTTTCATTATAGTATACGGGCAGTAGCTCTGAAGCTTCAGTAACTCTAGGGAATTCATGTGTAAATATAGCAGATGAGGGAAGAGAAAATTTAAAAGTCATTACTGGAAGATCTGAAGGGACAGGGTAGAGCCGCTGGAGCTTGGAGATTTAGGGTAAATGTAAGCAAGGTCCTGCTGCCAGAAGCCCTTGAATGTGTTGTGGATATAGGGCTGGTGGAGGGTGAAGCCATTACGAAGTTCCATCTGTGAGAAAGGGCAGTTGAGGTCCCGTCTTTACCAGTCCTTTTGACCTTTCTCTTCCCTAACCACTGCCTTTTGGGCCAGCTTGGGATTTCGCTGGCCATTGGCAAAAACTGGCCATCTGGCTTCCAACAATACAATGGCTATTCAAGTTCAAGTGATGAACTTCCAGACTCTGGTGACTCATATTTCCCAGAGCCGACCACTAGTGCATATGTTGGGGAATCCGGCCTTCCAACATGAACAGATTCCTTTAAAAAAAAAAACAAAAAACAAAAAACAAGAAAAACAAAACAAAACAAAAAGCAAAATAGGTTATATTTAAAAAAAATAGAAAGGCAATAAGTTGCGATAACCTCTTACCATTGATTGACCAAGGTTATACAGGAAAGAGATTGACGTGTAATAGGTTTTCTGGAGTCAGAGTTCTAAGCTCTAGTTCGTAACTTGGACTTTCTAATTGCAAACGGCAATAACTAGTAAGTTATCAGCAATAATAAATTTAGCATTAAATTTGAGTACAATGTTCTGTTTTTGCACTCGTTGCAGTGCATTATGTATTAAGACAGTGGATAGTGTTAAGGTCCTGTTAATTTTTTTTTGGAATTCAATGTAGTTGTGAATCAAACTTAAGGAAAGTTTAAGTAGCAATGAGATTTAGAGTTATGGGCACTTGGAACAAGCCCAACTTCCCCTAAATTATCCTTTAGTTTGTTAATATCAGTATTCAGATTCCTGATTCATTTATACATTTGTTTCCATGTGGCAGGGACATTCTGATACTTAATGAGTAATGCTTTGAGTTCTGTAGTTACCTTTCAAGTCTTCCGGACGATTGTCAACAAGGAAAAAGGCTTATTGAATTCCATCTTGCTATGCAAGTTTTATCAGATGATCAAATAGTGGATCTGATACATCCCCATTGTATGTATGGCATTTTTCAAACCAAGTCTTAACTTTTCGAATACATTTTAGTAGCTAATTCAGGGGAGGGGAAAGAATGACCCAGGTTTTTAGATTGACTATTTTTGAGCTATGGGGCTCATTTTTCAAAGACTGTTGTCCAGATAAACTGTTGCTACAGATACTAGAAGTTTCTTATGAATCCAAGTTGTACATTAACTCGGCATAATTTAAAAATCTTTTTTTTTTTTTTTTTTTTTCGCATATGAGCAAAAAGCCTTTTGCTGGATACAGGAGAAGGTGGACTCGATTTACAGTTATCTTTTGACTACAGCAACAGCTCTGGGTGAGAGTAGAATATATAGAGGGATAATTTGTCAAGCCATAAAAAGAAAATCTAAATTAATTCTAGTTAAGTGTATGACCTCTCACCATTATAAGAGGTACCAGATTCATTTGCACTATTAGGAATGCTAGTTTTGTGCAAAAATAATGCCTTACCTGTTTTTTCCCCACATTTAGGTTGAAAAGCTTTCAAACGTTCCAAGTTATGCTGAACCAAAAACAAAACAAAACAAAAAATAAAAATAAAAAAAAAACCCACACAAGAACTAAACACCCCAAAACAAAAAGCCCACACTTTTAATTCCTGCTTTGAAATGCAAATGGTACAGAGCTCAGTTTCTCTGGCACAGTGTAATGATAGCTCTGTGAGTGGGTGAGTTTCATGTCCTGCTGGGAACTCTGTACGCGTGCGGCCGCACGAGCGGCAACCAGCCAGCCGAACCTGCCCACCTGCACTCTGAGTACGGAACCATTTGCTCTTCTTTTCTCCTTCTCCTCCTCCTTTTTCTTTTCTTTTTTTTTTTAAAGCTTTATCTATCTTTCCTTGTGCATCCTGACCAAGAAATATCTTTGATTATGATCAATGTATTATGTCAAAATGTAGGCTAGTTAAACTTTTGTAAAGTTGCCTGGAATGTCATTTGTTAGGTTATAAACACAAAATCTAAATGAAGGGTTATATGTGTTGTGTACAAATCTTAATTATTTTGAAATGGACAAACAACTTGTCATTACATTTGTAACCTTGTACAGAGGATTTTTCACTATGTGCCTAGCTTGGTGTCCATTCAGCTAAAGTTGAGAAAAAAAAAGGTGCATGAAGAGTTAAAAATCAGAATTAAACAAAGTATATGTAGAGATGACTATTTTATATTACATGGCCCAATCCTGTATTTATTTCTGCCCCCTTTTTGAAAGTATTTATAAAACTAGTTGAGGACAGCTGTATTTTTTTGTTGAACTATTTAGTAGAATTTGTGCCTTTTTGTCTGTATGTGAATAAATGCTGTACATTTTGCAGTACATTTTAGAGTGTCTTGAAATCTGGTTTTGCTAAATATTTAGATGTATATGACTTAGCTGCATATGTATGTGGTGTCTCACATGATGGTACATGTCGACAGTCTCACAGCTTAGATCAGGAACGCGAACTGCAGGGAACATGACCAAGACTGTGGAAGAGCACAGATTCACTAAGGCTGCTTTCTGGCTCAACTTTGATGGTGAGACACTGATACATGATAATGGTTTGATTTTAGTGTTCCCCACCTGGAGTTCTTTCCAGAATACAGTTTTAGAGCTGAAAACAACCAGTTGAAGCAACTTACACATTAGGGTTGCAGACACCTGGGTTTAGAGGCTGAAGTACAGTTCACCAGCCGTGTGACCTTTGCCAAGTCACCTAACCTTTATAAGCCTCAATTTTCCCTTCTGTGAAAGGACAGTGACATCCTACTATCTTCCTGGGGTTGCTGTGATATTTAAAGCAAGCTCATAGAGCATCTCATATAAAGCACGTAGTAGGCATTTGGTAAATGTCTGGCTATTATTCTCATGATTAGGAACAAGACACTGACTTCTTCAACATAATGTTGACTGATAAGCCTTCTGAGGCAAAAAAAAAAAAAAAAAGGTTATTTCTGAATGACAGGGAGACTGTTTATAAGGCTCTTAAAAAATAATTTTCAAAGGGCGCAGTTTCATTAAATTCTTTTGATCACAGAATTCTGGAACATTAGGGCAAAGAAGAGGTATCTCTATTCTACAGAGAAGACACGTCCAAGATCATAGCATTAGGCATTGGCGGGACCGGGCCAAGGCCCTAGTTCTAATTTCTAGTTTGGTGTTCTCCCTGCCTGAAACAGGCTTTACTCAACCCCTACGTGCAGGCATTAGCATATAATGAAATGCACCTTTGTGCTGGGAACAGCAAAAAGCTGGGAGGGTTACATATTCTCACGTAGATTACAATGTACAGGAGTCACAACAGGGTAGCGGTACAGAGTCCCTAATTTACAATTTTTGTAAAAATTTGGCCAGTTTTTCTAAACATGAATTGTTCATACATTTGGCTAAAAGCTTGTTTATTTCTCCTTGTTCCTCCTTAGTGACTATTCACTTCCACATAGCTTGCTCTGAGTAAGACCCCAGAGAGAAATAACTGTGATTCTTCCTACAAGGTCTAAAGTTGAATAACCACGATAGTTCTCTAGGGAAATTAAGTCCCCAGGAGCCAGAGGATAGGGCCTATTGCTGGCAATTCTGCAACATGTGATGGGAAACGTGGCACCGGGGACTCGTGTATGTGTTTTTTTTTTTTTTTTTTTTTTTTGTGGGCCTCTGGCTGCTGTGGCCTTTGGCCTTTTCCCTTTCCAGCTCCCGGCGCGCGGGCACCTGGCCCGAAGCCCACGACCTCTGACGATTTT